AAAAAGCTCTGCGCAAAAACCATCGGCTGATTCGGCTCCCCACGAAAACCGTCCCCCTCCACGGCGACGTATTTCGCGCCTTTGTCGGCGCCGAAGGCACCCCCGAGGGAAAGAAAAGGAGAAACAAACAAAACCGAGTTTCGTCTTCCCGTTTGTGGTCGCCGCAACGCAATTAGCCCACTAAAAAAGGCAAATTGGCGAAGGGTCACGGCGAGCAGCACAAAATCGCAAAGAAAAAGCTCGTGGGAGAGTCGGCCGGCGCCAGAGTTTGTGACAGAAACCAACAGCTAGGCCGTCTGGAAACAATGCCAGAAGTTGTATTTAGCACGTTTGCAGCCCGATTCTCTTTGACCCGTGTGTGAAAATGGAGCGTGACTATACGATTAATTCACCAAGCTCGCCCAAGTCAAGTGACGACATGCATTTGAACGATTCGCCGTTTGCCTTTGACCCACGGACATCGCCTCTGAGGGAACGTCCCGCAGCCTCATCACAGATCCAGCGGATCCGCCGATATGTGTACCCAGATGCCGCTTCATGTACCTAGGTGCAGCTTCAGAGGCGAAATCTGCATCCTTTGCCACCTTTGCTTTGCTAGCACCCCGAGTTCGATCGGTGGCCGTCGCAGTTGCACAGTTCTGTTTGCGCGAAACGGCATACGTTTGCTCGAAGCTTATGGCTGTTTGCGAGTAATATCCTGCGAAAAGGCGTGACTTTTTTTGCACATGCTTAGGAACTGCATTCAAAGAACCGTATTTCAGTAGGGTACACCCTAGAAGATTATATAATTCGAAACAAAATAAAAGACATCCATCGATCAACGCTTGTTATCCCGACCATCTGCGACCATCCGACAAACCTTTGCGTTCTGTGACGTCACGCAGCACCTACGGATGTCAGCCATTGACACTGGCGAAATTCGGGGTGCAGTTTCGTACATACGCTCATGAAAGGTTTAATTAATAACGGGAGATAATATATCAAAATAAAAATAACGTCTGTCTACATGGAGGCTCCCTCGACGCAACGAGCGCAAAAACTTAAGTACTTCCGGTTTCGACCGGACAATCCCTTTAACTTTCCCCCTGTTTCCGACTCGAGGAAGGTGACTTCTGCAGCCTTGTGCAGCCGAAAAGAAGGCTACTGCGGACGCGCAGAGGGAAGGCGAAGCTGCATTTTGATTGGTCGTCACTTCACCGCCAGTGTGCGGTGCAATCGTGCGCGCGTGCGCGCTCGCCCAAAGCCACACCGTCCTATGGTTGTGCCTCAGAAAGCGCCCCGGAGACAGCAAAAATGCCACGAAATACGCAATTTCTGAGAAGCGCACGGCCTGAGCGCGCACAAAAACGCTTTGGTTTAAATCGCGCTTTACACTCGGCCAATTGTACTTTATGTGCCGTTTTTCGCTGCTGCAGACAACGCCGGCTTCGCTTTACGAAGCAGTTAATGCTTTCGCGTTAAAACGGGCACGACCAGCACACGCACACACAGACAATTTGGGGTCAGAACTTGCCGTAGAAAATGTTCGCGAGAGAGAGAGGGTACTAAAAATGGTGATCCCTTCCCTGGAATATTTTATTGCACCTTTCTGAAATGACTGCACACTATGTAGGATGTTATCACTGATCTCTATGTCTATTTGCTGGATCGCGTTTGACCAGCTCCGCCTATGCACGGGAATGCGGCCACAGTCGGCCATGTTTTTGGCAGAGTTTTATTATCTCTAGCCATCATAGTAATATGGTGGACAGCGCAATGGCGGCAGGCTGCCATAATATATCCGTGGATCTAGTACACTGTACCGTGGGTGATATTTCGTGCTTGATTAAATTTGTTCGACGAAGCGGATTCTTGAAACCCGGCATGAACGGTAGCCTCATCTTTGAGGAACCGGCGAAAGTGCTACGCAGCACCGGGGCAAAGCAGCGCAGCTCGCATCGAAAGCAGACGCCATACCGGCGTCTGCTTTCGATGCTTTTTTCGATGCGACTTTCGATGCGTGCTGTGCTGCTTTTCCCCGGTGCTGCGATTTCGTGAAACTTTGACCGGGTCCTCAAAGATCGGGCTTGCGTTCACGCCGGGTTTCAACAATACGTTTCGTCGAACAATTTCAATCAAGAACAAAATATCACCCACGGCTGTTTATATGGCAGCCTGCCACCACAATTGCCACAACGCTGTCTGCCATAGATGGATGATAGTGACTGCAGCAGCTGTACATTGGCTAGACGTAATATAACTCTGCCAAAAAGATGGCTGCCAGTGGCCGCATTCGCGGAGCGGGCAAACGCGATCCAGCAAATACAGATAGAGATCAGTGGATGTTATGGTCTGAGGCTGAGGCGATCACGTCCAACCCCCCCACCCTCCAGCCCTCTTACCCCTTTAAGCCTTTTGCCCTCTCTTCCCACGCCACTTGGGGGGGGGGGGGGGGTGTTTAACGCCCCCCCCCCCCCCCTCCCCGTCCCCCGTTTCGACGGACCTGCTTAGAGGTGTTCCAACTAAAAGGACAAGGAACAGAACAGCGTGCAATTTTCGAAATACTGGTTTTAGAGTTCCTGGAATTGACCCCCTAAGTGATGACGTCACAACATGGCGCTCCGCTCCAAACAAATCGTTGCTGTGAACGTTGTAATGGACAAATTCATTGGGGCTCGACGTGAGGTTAGAAACTGTCTGATAAAGAAGTAAATAATGATCTGTAAGCATTTTGTGTGTCCCATATCTAATCATGAAGACTTCATTCTATTGTTTCAGTACCATAAAGCGATGGCAAAAGCGTTTAATAAAGTTTCACAACCGGTTTTGCCTTGCTAGCAGACGACGCAATGGCTTCGCGGGTTCCGTGGCTCTGTCTGAGCGAGTACGCGACCACGTTGAATGAGGTTGGTGACGATCGACGAAACTTTTATTTCGGGGTCAACTTTATGTGGGATTTTCGGGAGCGAAAAGTGCCCGTGCACAGGTTTGATCGACGCTCGAGGTGCGCGAACGCCTTTCCGTGGAGCTAGCTTTCGGCTGAAAACACTGTGAAAACACTGTGAAAACACTGTGAAGCCGAATTGGCCGAATCACGTACGACGACGACGTGAAGTGCTTCAAGGTTGAAGTGCGGGCCAGCACACGTTTCGAGGGTTTCTGACAGCGCATTTGCTTCGGGGATCATCTGTGTGATCAAACCGTCTGTTCGTAACAAGTATGAATTGTCGCAGATAGAAACGGATCGGCAAGCGTAAAAGAGAAAATAAAGATTTAATCGGGCAAATTTGTGCCTAGAAAAAAAGAATCTTTGTGTTCCACGACTTAGCGACCCTGAAGCATATTATTTTTACAAACTTTATGTAATTTTTAAATTACAATATATTATTTTGTAATCAATATGGATTTCGTTAACAAAAAAACGGTCTCGTACAACGCAGCTTTTTTAGTTGGTTACTGATATTCATGATAACCTTAACACTTACACAAACAGACTATGTGTTTATTGACTTCTCCAAAGCTTTTGATCGGGTACCTCCATGCAGACTTATCGCAAACCTAAACCACTTATATTAATTCAGTGCTAATTAATTCATGGATAAACAACTTTCTTACCACAAGAACCCAGTCTGTCAGACTTGGTAAGGCAAATTCTTAGCCTTTACCAGTTATTTGAGGGGTACACGTACCAGAGAACCGCACTGGGCCCGTTGCTTTTCCTTTTTTACATTAATGATATTAGTTGCCAACTTAGAGGCAGATAACCTTTGTTTGTTTGCCGACGATGTTGTTATTTATCGCGCACCGGTGAAGCTGATTGCAAGGCATTGCAAGACGACCTGTGTTTAATTGAGACGTGGTATGCTGAGTGACTCATGTCTTGTTATTCACCTTAAATCTAAACTTATATAGTTTTCTGAATAGCGTAATACCTTCACTTATTCCTATCAAACTTGCTCTCCATCCACTATAAAAAGTTTCTTCTTTTAAATACATTGGCGTTCATTTAATTAAGTTACAGCTGTCCTGGAAAACTTGTATTGAACATCTGACTTCAAGCGCAAATAAAACCTTGGGAGTCCTAAGACGCCATCTTTATCAAACTTCACTAAAAGTAAAACAGCCGTCATACTGTACCCTCGTCAGATCCGAACTGGAATAAGCCTCTACCATCTGGAACCCTAATCGGACTTTCCAACACGTCGAATTGCCTTTCGCCAGAGGTAACACTTCTGAAAATTCACCCCACATTCTATGTATAAGTGATCGGAATGCATTACCGGAATCCCTTGCAAGAATAGGAACTTTTAGCAAACATCTACTGTGTTCCGCGTACCGCACTACCGGAGCTTTTGAAGCATGCATGTATGCACGGTAACGGTTTGTTAAGAGTCCCAAAACAATTAATTGGTCATCCCTTATTTTCAACATAGCTCAATTGACAGGCACGGAGCCAGGGGGGCGGCCCATGGGTCTCGCCTCCCCCCCCGGCCCGAAATTTCGATTTTGCTGGGACCTCCTCTCCCCCCTCCCCCTCATACAGCATTTTGTCATGGGCGGCCCCCCCCCCCCCCCCCCAAAAGAAACCTGGCTACGTGCCTGTCACTTGACATGCGTTTTCTCACTAGAATGTTGCAAATAATCATTGAAGGCGAAGCGTTTTATAAGTTGCTTTTTACCTTTGTATTAAAATTACATGTGTCGAATTTGTTTATACATTACCCCCCTTATGTAACGCCCCACTGCGGCTTTGAACGTATAATAAATGAAAAGATAATGAAATAATAAATATTAGAAATAACGATCCCCCCCCCCCCCCCCCCAATACGCTTTCTTGGTAAATCCCAGAGGTCACTTACTGGCAAAGACCTTTGACCCTTCAGTATGACGATTTGTTCACGACCGGGCAACTTCTCAGCAATCCACTTGATACCTCACTTGACACATTACTACCCAGTTATGCAAGTTGCATCTATATTCTTATCTTCGTGATAAAACTTCGTCCAACAAAGCGTCATGTCAATTTCGCATTAGATAGTGGCTTCTGGTGAGGTGGATAAAAGGTGCGATATCGGTCGGTATTCATTCCACCTACCACTGTCTAGCCCGAGAGAGGCTTCGAGCTCTTCAGACATACAGTACGTGAAGAGAGGGTATTACGATGAAGGCACTTGCAATCATGTGGCTATTCTTCGCCGGAAGAGCGTCTCTACGTACCGGGAATCAACCTTTCATGTGAGTTCTTTCACCATTTTTTAGAATGCCCGAGATTTAATTATCTCTTTAACGGTGTCTTTCGAAAGGTTTTCTTGTCTTGTCTTCAAAATGACCGAGTTATCGGTGATCCCCGTTTCGGTGAATAGCAGGCCACACCGACAACGAACAAGGACAACACCACCGAAACTTTGTGCGGAGTCACATACAAATCAGAGTACATGGATGAGTTTAGTGTCTGCGAAGACTCAATGCATTAAAGATGCAAAGCTTGTCTTTATCATTCTGATAAACCACGAGAGCGCATATGTCTGCGCTTTGATTTCTTACGCTTGGTTATGGGGAACTATGGGTGGTTTCGTATGTGCTACACGATCTCGTGGCGCTTCGTGTGACGTTTTTGTGATGTTATCTATGTCGCGTGTTGCGTTCCTGCGAGGAGAGGAGGTTTTCCCGCCAACTACGCTGGGCTTTATCTACGCTATCCAGATACTTTTTCATGGAACGCATCTTAAAGCCCGTTCACACGCTTGTAACCGAGTAGGAAAGGCTGAGACAAGATCGGTTATTAAGCATCTTGCGACGGCTTATAGGGCCTTCTCCGCAGCAGCGCATCCGGTCCTACGCCGTCGCAAAAGGCTTAAAAACCTGCCTTGTCTCAGCCGGTCCTACTCGGTTGCAGGTGTGTCAAAGGGTCTTTAAGGCTTGTTCACGTACTTGCTACCGCTAACAACTGGAGGGCCTTAAAAACCGTTTTTCAGCCTCTTGTGACTGCTTACGACGGGCTGCGCTGCTTCGCAGCCGGTCGGAAGCAGCCAAAAGCGGCTGAAAAACCCGTTGTAGCACAGCCGGTCATCGTCAGACGCAAGTATGTGAAACTGTCTTTACGCCGCCAACATCCAATGATTTTGGAGCGTAGAGCTTTTGCGTAGTTGGAATGGGTGGGCACCCGCCACCTCGAGGTTTTCACCTTCGAAATTGGGTATCGGTGAGTCGGCGACATGCCCGCCCTCGGCGCAGCACGAAAGCGCAACGGCATGGACATCGCGTCGCGCATGCGTATCTCGGACGTGGCTTTTTGCACACAGCTAGCTAGGGGAGGGTTTGACAGTGTTGGTGTGTATCTCAAAAGGTCCCATTCGCATTTGAACCTTGCACATTTCGTCCCTTTCTCATTTGGTCCGCCTTGTTTGAACCTTCTCATAAGATCCAAATTGTACTTTTCGCAACTGGACCCATTCTCATTTCGCCCGTTCGCGCTACGACCGAATGGCACTAGTTCGGCATGCTTCTAACGTCGTTATGCCTTCGCGGCTTTGTTGATAAGCCTTACCTTGCTTGGGCCCCCAACATACCATCAGATATATTTATGTGTAGAGGTACGCACTGAGAATCGTAAATTGACACCTGCTTCCCTTCCTCTGAGCAAACAAGAGAAAAAGAAAACAATAAACATTTAGTTTGGAAACTTTGTTTGAACAGAAATAGCGTACATAATAGCAGTGGTTCTCAACCATTGATGTTTCGCGGGCCCCTTGTAGAAAGGCAGAGATGATGGAGGACCCCGTTTGGGGTGAGGGGAATAGAAAGGTATAGGTTATCATCATATTGATTTAATAAATGAATATAACTAATTGCTAGTGTGAAGTAGACTTGTCTCATTGACATACACGCGAGAGTAATCACCCGAAAATTGGAACGTTTCTTCTCAACGTGAAGAAAGACGACTAATATTGCCGTGCTTGCCTGATAAGGCAGGGCTTCGCGGACCCCTAGGATGCCTTCGGAGACCCCCATTTGAGAACCACTGCATTATAGAAGTGGTGGCATTGTCCCAAGTCGAGAGACCTCAAACAACGTGACATTTCGGAATATGATCTGACTGCGATAAATAGTTGGTCTGTTTTATTGTCAGCTAGTAGCTTTTCACGACGACCTCGATGCACTGCTAAAATCCTTAGCAGATAAAGTATGCCTGTAGCGTGGCACACACACACCCACGCATAAAATATGTTAATGTTTTTATTAATATTGCCCTAAAAACGATTTTGGTATGGAAAGAGTCAAGTGCGACGGGTCAAAGCGAGATATTTTTGAGAATGGCTGTTTTGAAAGGGCCAGGTGAGAAGGGCGAAACGAGAACGGGCCCAAATGAGGAGGGTTGGAATGCGAAAGACGAAACGGGAAAGGGCCAAATACGAAGGGTCAAAGCGAGATCTTTTTGAGAATGGTTGTTTTGAGGAGGGCCAAGTGAGAAGGGCGAAACGAGAACGAGCTCAAATGTTAATGATAAAGTGAAATGCATTCTCCTAATAAAGTGGTCGTCGCTGTGTGCTGGTTTCCTTTTAGGATCTATATCCTTATTTGTTTTCTATTAGCTCTAAGATGGAGTGGAGCCACCTGGCGGCTCCTTGTCGAGACGTAGTATCAAGTATCACGTGACCCCTTTTCTGCTTCGTTGGATAGCATGTAGGTTAAGGTTTATCGTTCACAATTCATGTTTGATTGGTCAATTTCAACGAGAGTTCTTTCGCTGTACTTCTCGTCAAAATTGAGCTCAAGCAGCGCGACAACAGTGGCGTCGCGATCTACAGAATGAGGAAAGGGAACCGCATTCATATCACTCGTGGAGGCAACCGCATCCATCGTTTCAACTACACACACACAAAGCACAGCCCTACGCGCCGCTACAACGGAAACCCAAAGCGAAAAACAACTGGCGACGGCAGAGAGGCAACATGAGCACCCCTGCGTTCCACCGCGCCGCGGCGCAGCCCCTCCTATATAACAAGGTCGCAGTGCTAAATGAGATGTCTTCATCAGAGAAGGCCAGCGCTGGGCACAGATTGGACACGACGATTGCGTCAACGTTTGCCTCGAACTTGATTCGAAGCCTGAGTCAGGCTTCGAGTCAAGACGTAGCACTCGTTCAAATTTGTGTTCAGCGTTGGCCTTCTCTGATGACGCCATCTTATTCAGCGCTACGGCTTTGTTATGTGGAAGGTGTTGCGCGGCGCCTCCTCCTCTCTGGTCCGCGCCAGCTTTGCGCGTGACTTTAACGAAAACAAAATGGCTGCTTTTCACAGAACTCCGGCGGTGTCTGTCGGTTTGTCAGCACCGGAGAGAGAGGGAGAGGTTGACACGCGCTGACGTCATCACTTCCGACCAGTGGAAGCGTCGGACGTGTCACCCTCTTCCCTCCCCCTCCCTCTGAAGAAAATAGGTACATTATATTGCATGTCAAAAACAATCCTACATATTTCTTCATAATGTTACCATGAAATGCGTTTCATTATGTTGTTGTTTTTTTTTTGTTGTTTAACTTGGTACCCTTTCGAGAAGGGAACGGTATAAGTACCAATCACACAAGTTTCCATTCTGTCAGGCATGTGAGTCATGCGGCATGGCCGTGAGAAACAGGAATATCTCACTCGCGAACTATGAGATATATCGCGATGTTGCATTCACGAGTACCTTTCGAAAACACAGCATTATTTACCATGCTCAAGATTTTGCACCAACGTCATGATACCTTCACAAATATAAAAACGCGAGAAGAAAAAACAAATCGGTGCCCAGTCGCGAATCTAAGCTAGAGAACGATGGGCGAAGATGGCACACAATCACCTAACTATACGCGATTCTGGTGTACGCTTACACGGCAACGTTCCGCGCTTATCAAACCCGTTTCAGGGTCTTCACATACTAAAATACGCACAAACATTTCGCATAAAATTGTGCACAAGCGAGGAACTCTCAGGTCGAAGAGCTACCCCCCTAAACTTAACTTATTCGCACAAAGCTAGTGGCTATTCTCTGACGAAAGTAAAGAGGCTGCGATATGTGTATCGCTATATTTATAACACACACTGGACCGTTTTAGGGAACCATTTTTACAACTCTGATTAATCGCTCGATCCAATCTGTGAGGTAAAGCGAGGACTTATTTCGCAGGGCAACAACTCCGATCACGGAGCGATCGATTGGAGTTGCAAAAACGGTGCCTGAAAACTGCCTAATATTGCATGCAGCACGTGTAAGAAGAAATCGTACGAGCTTTTATAAATTACTTCGCAGATCTTCGAGTTTTCAGGAGCCCTCCAAGGAGGGTACTTGACCTAGAATTCCAATTTTCTTCTTCGCACCTTCTCTCGGGGAAGCGAAAACATCGGAGTCTAGTTTCCGACGAACCGGCGCACAGTGGCACAGAAGCTACAACCCACCGTCATGCTAATGCATGAACGACCACGTCTTCACGATAACACGTTTCAAGTGCATGAGACCACACAACTTCTAACGAGATCAGCGAAAAAAAAATTCTTTTTTTTTCTCGCACGTATACTGCGCGCCCAACTACACACGCACTCCGCCCTACCCAATATGGCGCAGCGGAGGGGAAGTGGCGGCGCGGCGCAGGACAAAGGGTGTCTCCTTATCCTGTAAGGCGGCGCTGGAGACGAATTAAGCACCCTAATTCGGTCGGCGCTTCAGTGTTGCTCAAACGTTTGATCCCGACAGTACATATGCACGTCTAAAACATTGTTGATATGTTTCTTTCTTTCTTTCTTCGTGAACGATTACCATGTCCTCACAAGCGTGTTGCTCTCGCCGACACTATTACACCTATTTAACGCGAACATGCATATTTAACTCTCTGTCCAACTAGCCCAGCCAATTTCACTGAGGAGAGACAAGCCGTTCCAAGTGACCAGCCCTTGTATTTGACACCATTCATTGAGGACGGCCGACTGGATGAAGCAAAGTCCCTGAGCCGCGTCAAGTCACTGGGCGATGTGGAGGACGTGCCGAGCTACGCAGGATTCCTCACCGTCAAGAAGGAAACGGGCAGCAACCTGTTCTTCTGGTTCTTTCCAGCAAAGGTATAGTTAACACAGTTCCCTGCTCTCCAATGAATGAAAAGTATTACCAACCAAAACACTATAAACTCTGAAGACATGTTCCTGCAGCCAATGACACAACTACGTGTGTAATATTCTTTAACCCCTTCCATCCAGTGCTAGTTGTTGCAACATCGAAATGTGTCCGCCCCTTTTTTCTAGAGTTCGACACCTTATTAAAGCATAGTATAAAATGCGTGACAGATTGCTCCTCCTCTGGTACAGCAAACTTGACCTTTATTTACTTAGGGTTTCTGCTGAAGGAGATTAGATCTCCGGTTCTTTATCGTCTGAAGAGGCGCTGCGTAATCTTTGCAGGAAAACCCAGAGAGTGCGCCCGTGATCCTCTGGCTTCAAGGAGGTCCCGGAAGTTCGAGTATGATCGGCCTCTTCACGGAACATGGTCCGTTTGTCGTGGACGATGATGGCAATCTTAAACTTCGGGAGGTCACCTGGACCAGTCGCTTCTCGATGCTCTACGTTGATAACCCAGTGGAAACGGGGTTCAGCTTTGTCGAAAAAGCTCACGGCTGCGCGAGAAACCAGACAGACGTGGGCCGGGACATGCTTGAAGCTCTACAGCAGTTCTTCACACTCTTCCACGAGCTCGCCAACAACGAGTTTTATGTCATGGGAGAATCGTATGCCGGTAAGAACTTGGAATCTAGCTATTTAAATTTTGTCAAAATGAAACTAACAGCGTACTGAACTTGAATACAAGCAACCATGGTGTATGCATTTAAAATATTAGGTCCATTAAAAAGTTACAAAGGAAGATTAAAGCAAGTCATTTTAGCTAGATAGAGGAGAGTTTCTTTCGGAAATACGCTTGGAGAACTACCTTCCACTTCTCTCATATTCCGGCAGAGGATTGCTAAGGTGGCGTTTTTTCTCTTAGCCCGAAGGTATTTAGTATGAAGCACTCACGTATCTATCTCCCGCCCCCCCCCCCCCCCCCCCCCCCCCCCGATCCAGATCTCGTAGGAAAGACCGCACTGCAGTTAGAAAGAGAGCAAATGAGGACATTTACCGGTACTTTTCTTTCTCAGATATAGACTGAAAGAACTCGTATCTGGCTGTAATTAATAGTGATGGCTCTGATGTTTATACTTAAATAGTTTGCTTTTCATGTCGACCGTATCACGTTCGTAATCAACTTGCCTTCGGCACATATTAAGGTTTTAAACGAGAGCCTGGTAAATTTGCATAATACCGATTAAAATTTTTTTATATATTCAACGGTTTCTTGCATGGCCGCTCATAAGACATTTTTTGCTTATCAAAGTATTGGTTTTTGTATGTTGTCTATATGCTACTCCTCGTTCTGGCGATATATCTTGCTGGATTGTTTGCTAGTATTTTTTATGTTTATGACAAGGTCCACATTTATACACGTTGTTTATAAATGTGGGCCTCGTCATATCAAATACCGGTGTTTTGTTTGTTTTTTACCTGGCTGTCGCTCCCATAACATCCCTAGAGCTGGTTAAAAGTATCAATAAAAAAATACAGACTAGAACAGTATGGATAGTATATACTTCTCAACTGCAATTTCTAATGTACAGGCTGGAAGGCGAACTTTTGTGCCATGGTTTCAGTGATTGGTTCTGATAACTCTCCTACCTGTTTTTTTTTTTTTTCTTTTTTCATTCAACCCAGGAAAATACGTCCCAGCCGTTGCATATGCCATTCACACGGCCGTCAAGCCCAGAGTCCGAATCAACCTCAAGGGCATCGCCATCGGTAATGGACTGGTGGAGCTAGAATCTATGCTGGACTACGGAAACTACCTGTACCAGATAGGCCTTGTGGACCGCAACCAAGCCGCAATATTTAGCCAGCGGTGCGAAGAAGTCAAGCACTTGATCCAAAACAAGAGCTATAGCGATGCAGTTCGAAAATTCAACTCTATTATTATGTGTGCCTCCTTTGATCAATGCTACTTCAGTAAGTTTACGGGGTATGACAGCAAATTTAATTACTTGCACGCCAAGTATCCCAGTGGCTTGGACAACTTTGTCGCCTTCCTAAAAAAGCCTGTAGTTCAAGATGCAATCCACGTGGGGAAACTTCATTTTTTGAAGAGATCGCCGAGAGTTGCGCAGAATCTGCTTGATGACATAGCAAAATCCGTTAAGCCCTGGCTAGCTACTTTGATGGAAGAGTACAAGGTGCTGATTTACAGCGGCCAACTAGACATCCTCGTCCCGTATCCACTTACAGTCAACATGATCTCAACCATTTCGTGGTCAGGCGCAGGGGCACTCAGCAATGCAACGCGGAAGATTTGGCGGTCTCCAAATGAGCAAGATATCTATGGCTACGTAAGGCAGTTCAGAAATTTTACGGAAGTATTGGTGTTAGGTGCGGGACACATGGTTCCTTACGATCAGCCTAAAGCAGGGTTGGACATGATTACGAGGTTTGTTCGAGGAGACGAATTTGGAAGTGACTAGCCAGCATGCACTAAGTTGGTTCTGGTTCGTGTTCACTTTTCAAATAGAACGAACCTTGCCATGGTAACAAAAATAAATCGAATGTACTCCCACTATACACGTATATTCAAAACAAAACTGGGATCAGTTGTTAAAAACTTAATACGAAATTAACATCGAGCCTCACCATGACCCGTGGATCTATTAGGTTTCACGAGGACTGAAGCTGTACTACGACCGTCAAATGAATAGATGCCCCAAGAAAGTATGGAAGTTGCAGATGCTAACAGCATCTGCACTCTGAATGTCTTGGGGAGCCTTAGACCGGCACTCGACAAATTCGGAAAGATAGAGCTTCGTCAAGAGTGTGTTCACTAGATAAAAATCAGCTGTTGATTTGAGAGTCACCCAGAAGATTCACGCAACAAATGTCCTCTAAACTATTTTTTTCATTGTTGCTTCCAAAACTGAAAAAAGCGGACAGTTTACTTAACTTCTTGCCTCATTTTTGTTTCGTTGGTTTGTAGCTGCTTTGACTAGTTGTTGTATTTCCATATTACCGTTATGTATCAGACGACATTTGAATGTGCTTTGTTTGGTATAACTTCATGTGCTGTAAATCTACTAGCCCCTCCAATCACAACCTCTGAAAGAAAGTTATCCCTATTTATGTACAATAAATACAGAAAAAAAATGATGTTTCCTGTCAAATCAGATTTTTTCTATAATGCATCACTCATCGACTTCCTCCGATCCTCCGGGGTCGGTAGGTTCATCTAATCATCATCACCCATCACTTCCCCCCTACGTTGAGGCCCTCCAGCCAGAAGACAGATATCCAATAAAAGTATTATCCGTCCATCTAGCTTCTCGTTCGACGTTCCATACACAAAATGAACTTCGACTAGCTCGTCTGCGCCTGCAATTTTGATGATTTAGCATAGTTGTAAACCCGAGACTAGGGATATGGACAAGGGGCAAACACAGAACGACACGGACGAAGTCAGCTAACCTGCACCCTCACCATTGCTTCACTGGTGATTTAGGTTGTCTCCGTATTATGGAGAATCCAAGAGGTATATATATATATATATATATATATATATATATATATATATATATATATATATATATATAATGGGTTTGTTTTCGTGTTAGTTTAATTGATTTGTGTCAAAGTGCGAGCTAAACTTTCCAGCACTGCAAAGCCAAACGCGGAGAACTTTCAGATATTTCCAGAGTGGCCAGTAAAGTCGCAATCACGACGCAGTGCGAACATATTCGTGTTCCCACTGCGCCGTGCACGTTAAAGACTTCGAGGCTAGTACCATTCATAAACTCAAAGAAAAAAAAATGAAAGACGTTTTGCAATTCTCTGCAATGACGAATTAGAGCGCAGTTCTTGGGGAGGAGGAGGGGAGGGTTCGGAGGGGAAGGTATGCCCCTCCTCCCCTTCGTACACTCCCCTCCTCCTCTCATGTTTCCTTCCCAATTAGCGCGAAATTTCCTCACTAAATTTAGCAGAGAAACTTTTCCACTAAATTTAGCGGGGAAATTTTCTGCTAAATTTAGCGGGACATTTTTCCGCTAGATTTAATGGGGAAAGCTTTCCGCTAATTTAGCGGGACATTTTTCCGCTAAATTTAGTGGGGAAATTGTTCCGCTAATTTAGCGGGGAAATATTTTCGCTAAATTTAGAGGGGGAATTTTTCAGCTAAATATAGCGGGAAATAATCCCGCTATATCTAGCTCTGACATTTTTCCGCTAAATTTAGCGTGGAAATGTTTCCGAGAAATTTAGCGGGGAATTTTTTCTTCTAGATTTAGCGGAGAAATTTTTCTGATAAAGTTAGCGGGGAATTTTTCTGAGAAATTTAGGCACTAGGTGACGTCACGAGGTTGACATCACACGTGACGTCACTTGTGACGGTTTTATGGGAAACGTCCCATAATGCAACGCGCAGTTACGCCGACGCCGCTCAAGCCGGGAGCGGGCGTTGAATGGCGCGTTCACACTGGAAGCGGATCCGCCAACGCGAAGCGGATCCGCGCGTTCTCAACCGCAAAACGGCTAAAATTAAGCGGTTGGAGCGCGTTTTTGCCGACCGCTTCGGAACCAATTTCTCCCAACCGCTTTCACGAACCGCAAAGCGGCAACCAACTGCAACGTGACGCCGACATGACGTCAGTGACTTTCGCACCAAGATGGCACCTGTCGCTGGTGAGGCGTCCAAGGCACTGTAGTCCTAGCGTTACAGCAGACGAATCAACGTGTGAAACCCACATTAGAAATGTGGTGTTCACGTCCGTCACTTGAATCCACCGCAAAAATATCTGACTCGTAATCTGAACGGGTTTCGAACCGGTGATTTGGCTAGGGTAAAAGTGTTTATTATTCCGGGTGCCACATCCCCAAGCTCGCTGCCTTGTAAGTCTCTGCCCGTAGAACGTCGGAACCCGGCCCTTGTCGACCAAAAGGTCAGCTTTTGTACCCACTAAGATAGTCGCGTGAACTATTAAAAGCTTTCGACGCCGTGCATGACCACCACGAAGGCCGATAGAGACGTCGTGAGCCTGATTGCGAAGCCAACGCACTACCGCGGAGCGGGCAGGGTACCTGCGCTAGCTCGACCTGTAACGTTTACTATACTAACAAACGAAATAAAGGGAACATACCCAAGAAATAAAGTGTACGTACCAGACGATGCAGAGGTAATCCATACGGCGTTTATTAGAGCTTAATGTCAAACAAACAGTAGACTCGATCGACGTGCGAGTGACGAAAGGAGACCCCGCCACCAACGAAAACACGACCGGCTAGCACCAAACACATTCCACGCACCACGGTCCACCCCACCGCTCACAACTTCGAAAAAAATCAGAGCGAACAAAAAGGGGAGAAAACTGGCCCTCTATCCCGAAAACAAGGTCAGCATATTCATGCGGGAAAGGTCCACTTCGAAGAAAAGGTCGGGGACACACTCTTGTGAGTCAGCATTGCGAGGCGCGCTAGCTGGGCTTTGCTTGCACGGATTGCGGGCGAAGTCGAGGGAATCGCAGGAAAGTTTCGCGGGTCCATGCCTCTTCTTTCGCTGCCTGAACTCGTAATGCGTGCGAACATCCCGAAAAAAATCTTCAGATTGCCAAAATAGCAAACTTTTGCCTTTGGATCGTGATTAAAGTGGATTTGGGATTGTAAAACAGGGTTGCCAAGCGAAGGTCTCAAAAGATCACGCGTGATCGCCGAGAAACCGCCAACCGCCTCTCGGTGTGTCTGAACGGGTCGCTTGCGAACCGCATCCGCAACCGCTTCGCGAACGCGGATCCGCTTCCAATAGGGAGTTTTCGTAGATCGTTTCCGCTGTCCCGCAACGCTCTCCGCAACCAGATACGCTAGCCGGAACTCTACAGTCAAGGCCATCGGCGCGCCGGCGCAGTAGCGGCTGCTTCGTTGCGGAGGGCTTAGCGGAGGGCGAAACGCGGTCTACGAAAACTCCCTAATGTGAATGCGCCATAAGAGCTGCGCTCCCGAATCAGGTAGAAAAAGAACTCTTAGGCGTTCTTAAACATGTCTATATTTTCGCAAAAATAAAAAAGTATATATATATATATATATATATATATATATATATATATATATATATATATATATATATATATATATATATATATATATATATATATAAACTTTTTTTTTATGTGAAAGACTTTTCTAACGCCTTGTTGCCTTTCTAGTTCGCCAGGGGCGATAGTGCTTGAGGCAAAGCCGTTGTTCACAAGCTGAAAGAAAGAATTCTTTGGTTGTCGAAGAACCTTTCAAGAGCTTATATTTTTTAAGGCTTATTCACACGATGCATCTTTCAACGTACGCGCCACAGTTTAGCGAAACTAAGATTTCGCGAAATCGGCCTGTTCACACGTGGAGCTTGACGCGCGAAAGCTGACGTATTGACTCACGAGAATTTCACCAAACCTTGTTATCTGCGCCGGGAATACCAAGCGTTTCGCATCCAAATGATATGAAGTACGCACATCGTGAAGAGACAGTCTGTTTTATTAATACCACTCAATGAACTTGGTCAGATTCGGCTCACTGGGTTTACTAGTCGTGCCAAACGCGGGAAAGACCGCGAACGTCAAAGAACAGGCAGATGATCTCGATGCATTTCGGACGTTTTTGCACCGCTAATGCAGAAAGTTATCCTGTCATCATGTTTATATGCCGTACGTGCACTCGCCGCCGCGACTGTTGATGAATCTGCACCGCGCCACCAACCCGTACTGTAGGCGCCGTTCACACACCTGCAGCTGCAACCGAGTAGGACAAAGACGCACGCCCGTACGCACCGCTTCTCCGCTTGTCGCTCGCCATGTTTGTTTGTTTTCTTTCGACTTTGGCTCGGATACGGAATCGGCCAAAAATCAGACTCCTCCAAAAGCTCGCTCCTCCTCGAAGGTCAGACGCCATAGCGAAGTCGAGCGGCCATTAGCAGCGTCCGCGTTTCTCCTTCGGGTGATTGACAGGCTTTGGTGAGGTTTCAGCAAAATATTGCTCGAGAAGTGAGGAACACGCGCCACTTTTTTCGGAGGCGCACCACTTTTTCGGTCGCGTTCCGACGCCATCTGTTTCCCGGAACCTAGTTTCGCCACACAAGATTCGCCAACAAAATGCATCGTGTGAATAAACCTTTAGAGTGTTTAATGCATCGGCTACATTTCTCATCCACAGAGCATATTGGTGTCGCTATACCTCAAAGGCACAGCGACCTTACGCTGTCTAAACACGAACGCCTATAATTTGTTCTGATTGCTTGATTTATCGAGTATAACATTGCACTCCAATTCCCTCACCTCCGTCTGCCCAGTTGCGCGTGAAATTTCAGAAATGTAGCAATTTCGAACAGCTCGTGTTAGCCAGGTGTTTCGCTCCCCGGGAAATACGCCTGCAGGGAGAAAATGAAGATACAGCGGTATTTGACAACTGACGTGGGCCGCCCAAGCGAAGCGGACATCGGAACCGGAGACGGGGTGCTGGCACCCACCGTGTACCACCTTGAATACAGTAAGTAGGTCTGTATCGTATCTTCTGTCTGCTGGAACATTGTTTATGGGAAGTTTTCCGTCGGTTACAGTATATTTCAGGCCCTTCATAACCTCGTGTTTCCTTTCAACCGAGGTTTTGTGAACCCTCACGATAAGCACAGGCACGCTGTCGCCATCAATAAGGCGACTGTGGAACAGCATACACATCACGAATGTTTTGCAGTATTTGAGAGGTTGTATGTACGTA